AACGCGGTATTCACAGCTGCAGATGGCTGGGTCCTTTGCCAGGATAATTGTTCGTTGTCGTTCGATGCGCTGCAGGCTACGTGGGGCAAGACATGTGGTGCACTGCATGGGACGTGTATTGAGCAATATGTTAGGTGCACTCTAAGGCTGGTGCGGTGCAATGTTGACGCAACCCTACTCTCAATAATTGGGATGCAACTAACTACGTGACCCATGTGCCACTACATTCCAATGTTCGAACATCTCCCCCCCCCATCATGCTGGCAAACCTCACGTGGCCATGGGTGCTGTTTGTTTCGTACAATGATTTAGACAGCCTCAACAGGTGCCAGGGCGCACGCTCATGCAAATTCATAATTCGGGTGGACGAGTGATGATGATGGCGTCGACAATTGTGAAGACAAGGGTAGCAATAATGGTGATTGCCAGAAATTGTAGTGGCGATGACGAGGGCGACGACACTGACAATGTTGGTGATGAAGACGGCGGCGGTGATGATAGCCATGCCGATGATGATACGAATGACGATGTTGAGAATGCTGCTGGTGATAATGATTCTTATGATGGTGATGGTGGTGGTGATGATGATGATGACGGGATGACCGAGGGACACTTTCGGTTCCTTGTGATCTTTGCAAGGGCGCGCGCAGGAAATCTTTCTTTCTGTATTGCAACCGATTGGTTCTACAATGTGTTCGAAGATCTTTATTTCGATACGGTTCAATCATCCAGGGACTTTGCAGTGGTTTCGACATGCGCGCGCGGGGACGCACGCGTTGCCCGCATATGAATCGTTGACTCAACTATTCGTAATGGCGTCGCGCTCTGCCGCCGGCCCCCTCTCTAGCAAAATGAGACATGCCAGAGCTATGTTGGGATGCCTGGGCACCGACTTGGAGCAATATCGGAAACACATGCGTGGACGGTTGGTATTCGTGACGTCCTTTACCAAGCAGCATGTCCTCGGGGGCCCCGGTAGCGCGATTTTGACGTAATTTGCCAGACATCTTGGCCTCGGTGACCTCGAACCTGGTGTAATTTACGAGGGGATTACTATTGACTCGGGGGCGCGACTTCCGTCTATTCACGTGTCTAAAACCGATCGGATATCCGGCAACGCGACTGGAAGGTAAACGGGTGGTTTTCGGTTCCGCTTTCTCGCGTGGAAGATAACATTTGCAGTCGAAAGCAGGAAGTAGTGCAATAACGCTGGAGACTGGCAACTGGAACTCGAGAAGGTTGCAGGAAGCCTCATCCGCGCAGCCTGATGGCCCCATAAGATGGCCAGCGGATTCGGTAGGCGCGCGTTCCTGATTGATTGATTTCGGCTTGCGCGCGTGTCTCCCGCAATGTCTGCGATCTATTCGTTGAAATCGATGGCCGCTGAATGATTTCGGCGCACGCGCCCGCGAGCGCACGCGCATGTGGATCACACTATGCTGTTTCACAGGATTATTCCAAAACGCATGCGTTGGATCAGCGCGTGCGCACAGCATGTTAGAATATGACGGGGGGGAATCGATGCCAGCCTGGCAGGCATGGCATGATTATGGAGTGTAGCATGATCGGCGTGTAGAAGAAGTTTGGGAACGCAATGCGGACAAACAACAGATCGGGTAAATGCAGCCTCGGCATGGGGTGGGAGTCCAACCTGTGATACGAGAAGGTATACATGCGGCGCGACTTAAGTGGTGCAATATACGCGTTGTAAGCTGTGTGTTGAAAGATATGGGGTGCAAAAGTGTGACGCGTGATGTGCTGTGCAATCTCCAAGGTGCAGGCGATCTTGGCATTTCCCACCCAACCCTAGTAAGAGTAGTACAGCTACGATTCGTATCCCGACTACCAGCTGCTGTTATTAGTCGTAAGTCATCGTCGGGTCGTGGTCGTCGTTGCCGCCTTCGCTGGTCGTCGTCGTGGCCGCCGCCCCCGTGGGTCGTCGTCGCCGTCGCCGCGTCCGCTGGTCTTTGTCTTCGTCCTTGTCGTCGTCGTGGTTGCCGCCGGTCGTTGTCGTCGTGGTCGTCGTCGTCATCGCCCCCTTCGTCCTCAAAGTCGTTGCCGTCGCCCACGATTGCTACTACTACTGCCACGACTACCGCTAGTACTACTACTGCTCATACTACTACTACTACTACTACTACTACTACTACTACTACTACTACTACTACTACTACTACTACTACTACTACTACTACTACTACTACGACTACGACTACGACTACGACTACGACTCCTACTACTACTACTACTACTACTGCTACTACTACTACTACTACTACTACTACTACTGCTACTACTGCTACTACTACTACTGCTACTCATACTATTATTACAACTATTTCTACTACGGCGGCTACTACTACTACGACTCTTACTACGACTACGATAACTACTACTCCTATTACTACTACTACTACTACTACTACTACTACTACTACTACCATAACTACTACTGATATTTCTACTACTACTACTACTACTGCTACGACTACTCCTCACTACTACTACACTACTACTACTACTACTACTACTACTACTACTACTACTACTACTACTACTACTACTACTACTACTACTACTACTACTACTACTACTACTACTACGACTACTACTACTACTACTACTACTACTACTACTACTACTACTACTACTACTACTACTACTACTACTACTACTACTACTACTACTACTACTACTACTACTACTACTACTACTACTACTACTACTACTACTACTACTACTACTACTACTACTACTACTACTACTACTACTACTACTACTACCTACTACTACTACTACTACTACTACTACTACTACTACTACTACTACTACTACTACTACTACTACTACTACTACTACTACTACTACTACGACGACGACGACGACGACGACGACGACGACGACGACTACTACTACTACTACTACTGGTGCTCTTACTGTCGCTGGTGCTACACTGCCTGCGCCCTCCACGTTGCACTTACCTCCGAGGCCCGACTCGCCCTCCCGAGTGCCACGGACGTTACGGACATGTGAACATGTATAGAGAATAAGTCGGGTGTCGTAGTGCTCTCCACGCGCCAACACCTATGGCATGACTTTCGCTGCACGTGCTTTACAAATACGGTTATACCCGAACATTTCGATTGTGATCGAGCGCTCGACCTAACAAACGTTTATATTGCATTGAAGTTGTTTCGCGCTGGGCTGAATCAACCAGTACGGGCAACCGAACTCCTCATTCCTTCCCTCTCCTCCTCCTCCTCCTCCTCCGCCTTCTCATCCTCCTCCTCATCCCTCTTTTTCGCCTTATTTCCCTCCTGCCCCTTACCCCTTACCTCATTCCCGGTTTCTCCCCATGTTTGTCTTGTCGGTGTCATCCTCCCACTCCTCCATTCCAAGACATATGCATTCCGCGCACAAGGCGTACATAATGGTTCGGGGGAGAAACGTACAGAACGAATTGCCTAATAAGTTCTGGCTCTTGTCGTTTATATACTTATATCGTGTATACATATATTTACATGGTGTCATGTCCATGTGTATACTCATGGTGTGTTTTACACAGGCGCGCTTCCTGGGGCCATGTCTGTTATAAGTTCCGCACGTTAATCATTCGCGGTAGTTGACGAAGGCTAGTTTCGGGATCTCGGGCCACAGTAGACTTGACTGCCAGTGCGGCCGTTCAGGCAAATGTTGGGGTCGAGCTTGGTGATCCACGCTTCAAAAAATCAGGGCTCGGGTGGGGTAGACGAATATCGCCCCCCGCTGGCATAATGTAAGCGAGTCCTAGAGGTCTCCGCAATAAGTTTTTTTCGTCTTGAGTAGCTTTAGGCAGTCCAGGCCCCAGGCAGGGGCCCAGGAGGCCGAAAGACATGATGAACATCCAGGACTCCGGACCCACTTTCCCTAGGCCCTGTTTCTTCCATGATGTTCCCTCTTCTTCTTGCCCCCCCGTCGTCAAATGTGTCGCTAGGGATGCCCGCGGCAGGACCTCATCTCGTGCCTGCTGCAGCCCAACTCCACCCAGCGGTACACCATCCCCGATGTGCGGGGGCACAGGTGGTATCAGCAGGTGGACGAGGCCTCATTGGAGCAGCCGGACAAGGCTTCTTGGTTCGACGAGGACACGCTCTGCGAGCTGGAGGCCTTTGCCCCTTCTCCCCCCCCCGCGAGAGAAGAGAGCATTATTTTATCGAGTCCGCGTAAAACAACTCTGCGAGCTGGAGGCGTGTGGCTTCGCTGGGCGCGACCATGTCGTCGAGGCGCTGAAGGAGAACAAGCACAACCACATGACCACAACGTACTACCTGCTGTTGAAGAGGAGGCAGAGGCCAGCGAGCGGTCAACAATCGTTGCCTCCACAGGCATGGAAGGGCAGCGACTCTTATTTGGGGCAAGGAGGGCGAATTCCTCCTTGCCCTCCTATTTGGGGCAAGGAGGGCGAATTCGGGGCATGGAGGGCGAATTCTTCCTTCTCCTCACCATCACCCACTGGCATGCTAATCCTCATCTTCCCTTCCATCCTCACTCATCCTTAATCCATGCTAGACGCTTCGCAGACGGCACAGGCGCGAACATCCCCGCGTTGGGCCCAAGCCCCGACCGAACTGCATCCATTTGTGGTCCCGCGTCGGAGCCGGTCTGGCCTCCGTTTCGGGGCCCAGGTGAAGTCCAGAGTCGTGCAGTCATTGATTTTGGAGCGCATCGCAACCGGCGTAAAGGATACACTGGTATACCATCGTGCAGACGTGCGCGAGATTTGGCTGCACTGCAGAGTGTCCCGGGGATCCACTGGCCAGGCGAACACCATATTCTGCAAGACAGCATGGTTTATTCATTGCTTGAGCGTTCCCATACAGTGGAGGCCCTTGGCAAGGAACACCCTGCGTGCCTTCAGGGTGCGATGGGTTTCTTGGGTTTCGATGGATCTGCTATGGGAAGCGTGACGTTCCCACACCAACAATCACTGGACGTCCTGGGGTCTCAGGGTTGGGTTTCTTGTGGAAGTTGTCTTGTGGACGGGCCCCTACTGCACTACTCGGCGAAGTTGGGCGGGAGAGGCGTCCTCTGGGGCCCAAGGCCAGGAAGGGGCCCAGCAGGGGTCGAAGGTTAGCTCTTCCCGGATACCGTCTTGGAGCCGTCTTGGGCCCTGGACGCAGTGGTCGTCGGGCGGGGGGGCGGAGAAGGGGAACAACACCCTGAGCGGGGCTTTCGGAGCTAAGCTGCACACGCACTTCAGCCTTTCTGGCGTGCGGATTGAGGACGCTTCGCGTTCACCGCCCGCCCATCCTGGCCCTCATTGGACGCGCCGCACGGGGCCCCAAGGCAGGCTGAAGACATGCGGAGGGCAGCGAAAGTCGGGCCCGCAAGTGTGTTTTGCACCCCTGCCGATTGGACTCAGCTTCGCGGTGTAGTTGATTGACGATTCGAATATCGTCTGATCATCGGTCGGTCCGTCACCACCACCAGATCAGGAATATGGAGGCCTATTCTCGGAGGCCAGAGATAGCGGGAAGGCGGGCCGCAATTGCCACCAGACTCAATGGAGGAAAAACACCCCGACCCTAAGAACTGACGTTAATTTCACAGCCTTGAGCGTTTACGAAGCTCTAGGCCTCCGATGGGGTCGGGGTAGATGGGGTCGGAGAATCGCGCCGCATCGCCGATGTATCGACGATGCCTCGGCGATGCGGCTCGATGTGGGACCCATTTTTCCCCACGCCGACGTCGCCGAGGCACCGCCGACGTCGCCAGTGCATGTCCGATGCATCGGCGATGCATCGCCGATGTATCGGCGATGCGGCGAGATCCTTTGACACCATCTACTCGGACCCCATCTAGGAGGCCGCTATAAACAGCCCTGTCCTTTTCGATTGCCTCCTTGGGTGCGTTCCTCAGATCCACGGCGTCACGATTTTTGTTCACGACGTCGACCCCCAGGTGTCTGGACCGTTTCCTGGGGATTGGTCTTTGAAGGTCCCAAGGTCTGGTAAGGGCCTCCAGAGGCTAAAAGTTTAGGCTTCCTAGAGGGGGTCGGAGTAGATGGGGTCGGAGGATCGCGCCGCATCGCCGATGCGTCGGCGATGCGCCTCGATGTGGGGCCCGATTTGCTTCACGTCGACGTTTCCGATGCATTGCCGATGTCGACGATGCATCGCCAGTGCATCACCAATGCGTCGCCGATGCATCGCCGATGTATTGGCAATGCGGCTCGATCCTCCGACGCCATCTACTCCGACACCATCTTAGAGACCTCTACCGAATAGCGACAAACTTTACGTCGTAATGTCATAGACCGAGAGGGTCTGGTTTCGACACGGCTTCGCTTGTCGGGGTACTAATTGTGAGGGTGGTCTTCCTGTTCCCTGCTGACAGCGCGAGCATGACCCAAGAGGCTCCAAGCCGGGCCGCAGGGGATCCCGAGATGCCGCCCCCCCAACAAGTAGATCTTGGGAAAGGACCCATCTATATGCGTTTGTGAATGCTGCAGTTGTGAATCTCGTCTTCTGTGGAGCTCCGTATGGGGCCACGAAACGTGTAATGGATGTGCCGAAATGGGCGAGAAGCCGCATGTGGTCGTACCCCCTGGAGCCTTAGGTGGAGCTTCTCAAGGGGCCATGAAACGTATGAGGGGTGTGCAGAACTGGACATGCGGTGGGCGGGGAGCCGTATGTGGCAGCACCCATTGGGGACTTCGTCGGCACTCCACTGGTGGCCGCCAAGCGTGTGAGTTGTGTGTCCCGAAATGGATCTGCGGTGGGCGGGAAGCCACGTGTGGCCGCACCCACTGCGGCCTTGGGTGGGGCTCCTTCGGGGGCCGCGAAGCGTGCGAGAGGTGTACCGGAATGGACATGCGGTCGAAGCCCTTGCACCTTCTGAGAAGCCTTCTGCGTCCTCGGGGAAGGCGTAGAACACGTCCCAGAAGGCCAGAGGCCTTCCCAGCCTTCCGAGAAGAGGCCCGCCCCGTCTCCCTTCCCCCCGCGGGCGCGCCGCCCAACGAAGTCACGACCAGAGCCCCGGAACACATCCTTCTGCGCCGTGTTGGATCCCAGGCCGATTGCTCTGCGAGGGCCCCGAGGCCCGGGCCGGGCGGAGACGCACGGCTCGGAGAAGCATTGAGACGCCCGGGTCTCGGGGGCCTGCGCCAAGGGGGCCTCTCAGAGCGATTCCGCCCACGATGCCTGGACGGCCGTCGCCGCGAGTTCGGACGGCGATGGGCTTTTCTGCGATGGGAACCCTGCAGCGCACGCGTATCGCAAGCTTCGACTACACGTCAGAGTGACCCTTCGCCGCAGTGACCTTCTGGTGCGGGCCCACTGGGATCCCCCGATCGCCGAACGCGATGCGGTAGTGGCGTCTTGCGCGCCCATGCTTTGTCATCCCGCGGCCCCAAAACAGCCGCGCACCAGAGGTCACTCTTACCCAGGGTCAATCTCGCGTGTAGCCGAAAGCTTTCCCAGCTCGGGCAGTGTCGCCGAGGGCCCTCGTGGGCGGCCGGGGCGCACGAGCTTGCCGCGCGGCTCGGCCCATGAGTGACGTACGGCACCTTCTTTGGGCGCTGGCGCCAAGCGCAGCGGGCACGCGGCCGGCGCGCACAGAGCCCCAGTCGGCCTCGGCCTCAACGCTCCGCTCTCGGTGCTGGAGGTCGACCAGAGCTGCTCTCGGCCACGTGTGAGAGTGACCTTTCGCCGGAGTGACCTTTTGATGCGGGCTCACTGGGGCGGCCCAGCTCTTGGCCCGCGCGCTTGGAGTTGGGCCCTTCGCGGCCCTGAAGCCGCGCACCAAAGGTTCGCTCTTGCCTCGGACCATGCTTGCGTGTAGTCGATGTTCAGTCGCCGAGCAGCGGAGCCACGTGCAGAAACAGATCAGCTTTCGGCGCGCCACGCCTCCCAGCCACCCTGACGTCTTCGAGCCGTGGGAAAGAAGAACGCGAAGGAAGGTTTTTGACCGCTCTCGCCCTCCGGCGGGCCAGTGCCTGGCCCCTGGAGTAGAAGAATTGCGTATATATAGGCATATAAGATGCGAATCTGGACCCCGGGGGGGGCTCCAGACCTCTGCAGACTCACGTTGTAGACGACACGTGATGTCGGAGGTCGGGGTCCACTGGATCTCCTCTCAGTCACGCGGTCCGACCACGCTTCGAGGAGGCGCCGCCGCATGTACCTGCTCCCAGGCGCCAAGCGGAGGCCCGACGCAAGTGGCTCCCTCATCTGCAGCGGCTCGCAGTACGGTGCCACACCCTCGTTGATCAGCGCCGCCAGCTGTAGTAAAAGTAAGAAACGCGCCCGCACGTGGACCCACACTGAGGGCAGTGCAGGAGGAGGTGGAGGAGGCGGAGGAGGAAAAAGAGTAGTTAGGACAAGGCCGAGATTTTGTGCAGAAGAGAAACAGATTATCCCGGCAAAGCAACCTAACAGCGATGTGTAGGAGCATATCTGGAAGCATTCCCCTTAATATTCAGATGATAATCCAGTTGTAGAATTCTGCTGTTCTCGCAGTCGTAGTCGCATTCGCGACGACAGTCGCAGTGGCAACGGCAGTCGCGGTCACAGCCTCAGCCTCAGCTTGCCTCAGCCTCAGCCTCAGCCTACCTCAGCCTCAGCCTGCCTCAGCCTCAGCCTGCCTCAGCCTCAGCCTCAGCCTGCCTCAGCCTCAGCCTCAGCCTGCTTCAGGCTCAGCATCAGTCTGCCTGCAGCCTCGGCCTCAGCCTCAGCCTGCCTCAGCCTCAGCCTGCATCAGCCTCAGCCTCAGCCTCAGCCTGCCTCAGCATCAGCCTGCCTCAGCCTCAGCCTCAGCGTGCCTCTGCCTCAGCCTCAGCCTGCTTCAGCCTCAGCCTCAGTCTGCCGTCGGCCTCGGCCTCAGCTCAGCCTCAGCCTCAGCCTGCCTCTCTGCCTCAGCCTCAGCCTCAGCCTGCCTCAGCCTCAGCCTGCCTCAGCCTCAGCCTCAGCCTGCTTCAGCCTCAGCCTCAGTCTGCCTTCAGCCTCGGCCTCAGCCTCAGCCTCAGCCTCAGCCTGCATCAGCCTCAGCCTCAGCCTCAGCCTGCCTCAGCCTCAGCCTGCCTCAGCCTCAGCCTCAGCCTGCCTCAGCCTCAGCCTCAGCCTGCTTCAGCCTCAGCCTCAGTCTGCCTGCAGCCTCGGCCTCAGCCTCAGCCTGCCTCAGCCTCAGCCTGCCTCAGCCTCAGCATCAGCCTGCCTCAACATTCAAAATGTGGCTCGGGAATGGAGTTCTGGGAACTCGAAGAACACGAAGTGGCCTACAGCTGGCTCCGGGCATTCAAAATGTGGCCCGGGAATGGAGTTCTGGGAACTCGAAGACCACGAAGTGGCCTACAGCTGGCTCCGGGCATTCAGAATGTTGCCCAGGAGTGGAGTTCTGGGACCTCGAAGACCACGAAGTGTGTAACTGTTTGCTTAAAACGACTTCCGCGGGTTCTCCCCGGCACCCGCCCCGACCCCCTTGGGGAGTCAAGATGCTTTCTTTTGACATTACTAGAAACCTATCAGTCTTCGCTGTTAGGTAACAGAAGTCGAGGAGGAGGAGGAGGAGGAGGAGGAAGGGGGAGAGGACGATGAGGAGGAGAAGGAGCAGAGGGCGCAGAAAGAGGAGAAGGGAGGAGGAGGAGGTGGCAGTGTACAGGAGCAGCAGGGAAGAGGAGGAGAAGCAGGAGGAGGAAGAGGACGGCGTCCGCGACGAGGGCGAAGACAAAGACGAGGGTGAGGACCTGAAAGTTCGACGTCATGTGTTTTGTTTTGTCACAACGTGGACCCCTGGAGGTCTCGACCCACTCCCCGGAATCAGCTCCTCATCCCGAGCCGTTTGTGGAGGGCCCCGGGGCCCACGGAGGGCCCCCAGAGACTGAAGATGATAAAACCTCCGCGCGTTTTTTTGTTCACGGCGCGATCATCACCGCCGACGTCGTCACCGCCGTCTTCCTCGCCGCTTCGCCAGGGGCGGCGGTGGCCCGGCGTCCACCCGGGAGGCACCACAACCGCCTTCTTGCCGGGGCCCTGGGCGCTCGATCGCTCGGGCTCCGGCGCGAGCCCACGGCCTGGCGTCCCGCGCCCGAGTCGGCGGCGAGCCCAGGCGGGAAGAGAGGGGGGGGCAGGTTTCCTCGAGAGGCGGCGAGGCTTCTGAGCTGCCCTCGCGCCTTCTGAGAAGCCGTGTGCGGCGTCGGAAGAGGCCCGCGAGCCTTCGCAGAGAAGCCCCGCCGCCGTCTGGAGAGGCCTGCGCCCTCTCGGTTTCCCCCTGGGCTCGCTGCCAACTGATATCCTTGCGTTGTGACGCAAGCCTCTGTGGGGCCGTTCAGGTCGCATCTCTCTCTATCCCGAGACGCCCGCCTGACGTCGTCACGTCGGAAAACAACAGCAACAGGTTCACGAAAACCGTTTCTTTATGATTCTCGTAGAAGTAATAAAGGATCACAGAAGAGTCCCAAAGGGGGGACGGGGAACCCGAAACCGCCCGGTGCGGGGCAGTGGCGACGATGCGGCGGCGGTATTGTAGCCGTTTCGCTTCGGTCATCACAATGTTCTAGACTCTCGCGCGAATGCTGGCTACATTTTGACTTCTGCTACAGAGGGCCACGGTCCGTTGCAAAAAAACGAGCTCCGGCTGTGTTGATTCCTTGTTCTCTGTTCCGCCTCCAGCTCGCTTGAGACATGTTCGAAATTCATTCAAGATTCGTGCTATCGCTTCACTGATGGGTATCGTCCCTGGTGCGCTCCGCTAAAGAATTCCGCTGGAAGTAACAAGGACCACAGAAGAGTTTCACACGGTGGACGTGGGGCCCGAGAGCGCCCAGTCCAGCAACCCTTTCGCTTTGGGAGCCCGAGGCCGCTCAGTCCGGCAGCCGTTTCGCCTAAGATTTCTTCACATTAGATTCAGGGATCGTGCTCTCGCCTCGAGGCCCGCTGCATTTGTTGTCCAGACGGCCACGGCCCCGCATGTAGAACATACCGCATAGGTCCCACAGGTCCCACCGGTTTCACAGGCCCTACAGGTTCCACAGGCTCCATTGGTCCCACAGGTCCCAGGTGCGCAGGTCTTGCAGGCCCCACAGGTCCCACCCATTCCCACAGGTGTCGGAGGTCTCACAGGTGTCGCAGGCCTCAGGCCACACAGGTCCCGCGGGCCCCACAGGACCCACAAGACCCGCAGGTCGTCCACAGGTCCCACATGTGTCGCAGGTATCAGGTCTCAAAGGTCTTTCAAGCGTTTCAGGCCCCAAGAGGTCACAAAGGTCCCCTGGGTCCCACAGATCCCGCCAGTCCCACTGTTTTCACCCTGCCCTGATTACGGATTCCACGTCTCGCACGGGCGCCACAGGTCCCGCATGTTGCGCACGCCGTAAAAACCTTACAGTTCCCCCAAGCCAGACAGGCCTGACATGCCCCAGAGGTCTCACAGAATAGTCGTCTAGCAATTCCGACGCACCTTTTCTCCCTTGCGAAACCTTTCTTAATGTCGTCGGGTCGGGATAATGACGTGAGGACATCTGTTTGACAGCTTTTGCCCTATAGGGGGCCTTGTGCCGATACGTTGATTTGTGTCGGCGTCATCAGCCTACCGCTGCAGGCGTTTGGCTCCAGCCTCTCACACCCGTCAAATGATGTGGTAGTTGGATATGCCTCCTGTAGATGGAAAAGGGAAAAGGGGGAGGAGGAGGAGGAGGAGAAGGAGAAGAAGGAGGAGGAGGAGGAGGAAGAGAAGGAGGGAGAAGGACATGGAGGACGAGGAGGAGGAGGGGGAGGAGGAGGAGGAGGAGGAGGAGGAGGAGGAGGAAGAGTAGGAGGAGGAGGAGGAGGAGGGAGCACCTGCTGTCCGCGCGCGCTGCCGCAGTGCCATCGATCAGCACGAGGGGGCATCCTGCATAAGGTCTTCTCAAAGAGAGCCTCTGGGCGAAGGTTTTTTTTTGCGATCCTTCGTTTTTTGCAATCCTCCGTTGCAATCCTTCGGTTTTTTTTTGTTGCAATCCTTCGTTGTTTTTTTGCAATCCTTCGGCGAAGACGGAGAAGATACATCACTGTGGACGGGTTGGCTCGCAAATGATGTAGATCAACTGGCCAAGAAAACTCTGCGTGGCCCCGGGGCCCCGAGGAGAGGGCCCAAGCCTTTGCAGAGCCACGTGCGCGTTTCAGGCCGTCGGACGTCTGACCAGCAGCAACAGGAGCAATCAGACCTGAGGCAGGGGCGGGGAGGAAGAAGAGGGAGGGAATGACCCAAACGCCCCACGCCGCGATTGTTACACCGCGCGCATCCGCAGAAATGCCCAACGCATGCTCGGTGTTGCTGGCATTTCTTTCGGCCGGCCGGCTCTTCATCCCGCGTCGCTTTGCTTGAAGATCTACGAACCCGAACAACCGCCCTGCAGGGGTGCGAAGATGGCCAAACACTGGCCGCCTCGATTACTCGAACCGCCGGCTTGGTCTTTAATTTTTGTAACCGTCGACAGCTTTTCTGATCCACTCGATTTGTGAGGGTGAGGCTAGATAGACCGAGGCAAATCGCCGCACGCATATTCAAATCCAATTACACGGAGACGAATACAGACATGTCCGCATAACCCTTCAGCAATCGTCGAATGTCCAGTGCGATCCCAGGGACGACCTATGCCCTGAAGGTAGAATGGCGACTATACGGTGCCAGGGGAGGCCCGTCACGCAGCAAGCCCGCGGCGATGATTGACTCATTGGTGACGGGCCTGCTCGTCGGCGTCTTTGAAGTCGTTGGGAGTCCTTAGTCGTCTTCCCCGAGCGATGGAAAACTATGTTCGGGTTCGTTTTCCCCTCCCCCCTGTTTTTTTTGTGTTGGATCGGCCGCGCCACTCTGCACCAGGAGCCCGAGGCCGCAGCACAGCACGCGAAGACCTCCACGGCCGGAGCCCACTGCTCCCCCCGCCCTCCGCCCGCAGCCGCCCCGCCCCCCCGTGCGCGGAAGCCGGAACGTATAGATTACCAGGGGCGGGCGGCGTTTCAATTCCAGGAGTTTCTGACGGTCGGGGATGACGCCGGGGCGGTGTGGTGTATGTGTTTGTTTCCCCCATTTCCCGGGGGAAGCGACGAAGCATGTATACATTATAGGATCCCATGTGCACACCAGGGTCCGCTTTTTCCTGCGCAGGTGTCCGTGCCGTGCCGGAAAGAGCGTCGGTGTATAGAGTCTGTTCCCCCTTCTGCTGCCGCACGCCGCCTGGGCCTCGACCGCGCCGCGTCAACGCCGGCGCGCTGCGCCATCGCGGCGAGCGAGCGCACGCCGCCCGTTCGCCGCGCCCGCCATATGCGAATCGGCATCGCGCGTCAAGTCGCAGGCGGTTTTTCTTCCCGTAGGCGATCTGTCTCCCCCTATCCCTGGGCTCCGGCCGAAAAGTTTTCCGCTCAGAAAAAGAGGGGGGGGACTTTGGGATACACTCCCAGGTGGCTGCCCGGACGCACCAGTATCGAGGATCGACGCCCCCCTCGTATATCCCAAGGTTGAGCCCCAAATTGTTGGTCCGTTCGAGAACACCACGAAATTTGGGATAGGGGCCGACATATCCAGTGTTACCAACGCGCCCAGATTCCCGACGTCATGATTTTTCATATCTCAGACATTCTTCGTTTCGAAAATAGTCGAGGTAGAGATAAATATTCGTGTTCGGTTTTTCGGGGCACGCTCTGGGCCTTGGGTCAATCAAAAAACGGCCCAGGATAAGTCAGCACTGGGGGAGCTGCCGAGAGGTCGAGGGCCCCTGTTTTGAAAACCGAAACGCCAGATGTCTGGAAATGTGGGTCTCCAGAGGAATGGGACAATTCGTTTTGCTGACAGTGGGAAAGATGGAGGGGCTTCGAACCATCCCCCCACCCCCTACCCCCCTCAAAAGGGAGTGTGTGTTCGGACTTTGGGGGGGCCTAAGTTGCAAGGGGGGGGGGTTCGAACCAGAGGAAGCCTCCCCTCCTTCCACCACAGTGGGACCCGATGACGGCGTGCGCTGGCGCCAGCGCTGGCGCCGTCGGGCGGCGACGGCGACGATCGAGCCGTGGTGGGGTGTTCATCAACGTTGGATCGAGTCGCAGTAAGAATCTATCAGAGCTAGATCGAGCCCCAGTGGGATTCCATGAGATCTTGATTATCGGTCGTGGGATTTAATGTCATATGGATCGAGCCTCACTCGGATTCAAGGAGATCTGGATCCAGCTATGACCGGATGTTGCTCGTATACAACCGCGCCCGGCCAGGATGCAGTTGCAGCTTGGCCCATGTATAGAAGAATTCTAATCGAACTAGAGCGAACCCAATTAGGATGTTATGAACGTTGGACCCAGCTGTAGTAGGACACTGTGAGAGTTGCATCGAGTATTAATCGGATTCTACCAAGGGGAGGGGAGGGGGGTGGCGGCCGCACCCCGTGGTCCGAACCCACCCTTGGAGGGGTGGGGGGCCTCCATGGTTAGAGAAGCGGGTGTTCGGGGTGAGGCGGGGGGGGGGGCGGTTTTCCGGGCGATTCGACTGTTTGAGGTGGGGCCCGTGCACCCCCGTGGTTCTGATGCGTCCAGGGATCTGTTCCAAGCACGCGTCCACGAAACGCGTTCTCTCAGAGATCCCGGCCCATTTCCCCGGACCAGTTGTTCATCCAGTGCGGTTTGTTTTGCCAGTCCCAGGGCTTGGCGAGGACACCCTGGGGCCGAAAATAGCGAAAGCAAATGTTCCACGACGCTAGGGGATCTGGGATCTAAGGCCGCGGCAGCACTGCCGCCCCCGCGAGCGGCGGCGCCGCCGCCTCGCCGCGGCATCCGCCGCCCGCGACCCCGCTGCGCTCTCCGCGCGAGTCCACGGCGATGCCGACGCCGCAGCAGTCGCGGCCAGCGCCCCACCGCAGGGTGCCGCCTCTCCAGCTGCAGGCTGGCGGTCGCCGAACCCTGAGATCCGGGCGCTGCATTTTGTTAGCACCTTTGGCACCTGGCCGTTTCGCCCAGCTTCGGGCCCCATTGTGACAGATCAATCCAGCTCCAGACACGTCGCCGA